CCCCAAAACCCCAAAACCCCAAAACCCCAAAACCCCAGTGGCCGGATCAGGCTGAAAAGAATATAGAGTATTGTGCTCATAAATAAAAATGTCAAATTTTCTAGAGGTAGAAGAGAATAAAGATGGAACCTTTGGGGACCAATCTTCGCAGATTTTGCTCTACAGACATGCTGAGAGTGAGGCAAATATGATTTGGAGGAACAAAGATATGCCAGATACTGAAAAGTTAGAGCTAGAGATGTAACTGCTCAATATATCTAGAATTTAATCTCTTGTTTTATGCTCGCTAACTGTCCTTATAGGAATGAGAAGTATAGAGACACCGTTCTTTGTGAGAATGGTATAGAGCAATGTGAATCGAGAAGAGATATATTGGCAAATATCAATATCCACACTGTGTTTATTTCTCCACTAAGAAGAGCCATGCAAACTGCATACCATTCCTTCAAAGACCATCCAAACTTCGACAAAATAAAGTTTATCATCGTTCCAAATTTGAGAGAATGCATGAACTTAGCATCTGGAATTCCATATAATATCGAAAAGGTTATCGAAGAGTTTTCTGAGCTGTTCCCAATCTTGGACACATCTCTCTTTGATTCTTATGAAGACAAGCTACATTACTTCCTTGATGACACAGATGAATGGATAAAGAAGGAAGTAGTTCCTAAAATTGAGCCTAAAGAAGGAGATGTTATAGGTGACAATACCTTTGACTTGTTGCTCGAGATGTCAAAAGCTGCCAAACCACATAAACTTGAGTCAAAATTTAACGTTCTTCAGAGAGTTAATAAAGTTAAGGCTTACATCAATGATTATGTCAAATCAATTGCTCCTGATGAGAAAGTCGCTATTGTAACTCATTTCTTTGTTCTTGAAATGTGGACAGCAATATGGGAAGATAGCCCTTATGATCCTGAGCTTAAAGATGTGGCTAAACCAACCAAATACGTTTGATTCAAGAATACCATGCCTTACTATTACTCTGGAAATGACACTGATAGTGTTGAAGCAGCTATATTAGCAGAAATGGAAAAGTCCTCATAAATCTGATTAATTCAATAGAATTCTGACATAGAGTACCAAACAGTGCATCAAAAATAATTCAATTATTCGTTTTTAATCAGGGGTTTTGGGGTTTTGGGGTTTTGGGGTTTTGGGG